GTCCACTTGGGTGCGTTTATGCCGACGGTGGGGGACAGCTGATGCCGGGCCCCGAGGTCGAGCGACCCAGGACGCATTTTTCCCAGCTTCAGCGACCCCCCTCTGCAGTGGGGTGGAGGAGCTCCCGTTAAGACGCTAACGGCGGTGTTGTCGTCCTTGGCGACGTCTGGAACCCCTGGGGTTCGTTCGGGCAAGAGAGAGAGAGAGCTCAATCAATCTTTATTGACGGAACAAAACAAAACAGAGTATGAATCTTGATTCCTAGAACCCCACCTTAATGAGGAAGATAGAATCGATGATTGGAATATCGATCTTTCATTATTCACTAACGTGCACGGGACGTCTCCGAAACGCCAACGCTTTTCAAAAGTTCAGAGGTCGTTATGAGCTTTCTAAAACATCAACGACATCCTGCTCTTCACCAAATCTTCAAACATCCTCACCAAGTCGGGTTCGGGCAAGCGAGGGGGAGGGGAAACGTGGTTTCCTCGTCGGTTTGGGGGAGGGGGGGTTAAAAAGAGACGAAAAGGGGTGGGGCGCACCCCCTCACTTCCGAAAAAGATGGGGGGTCTGCAGCAGCCCCAGCTGGTGACGCAACCCAGCCATTGACGCTTCCTTTTTCCCATCATGCCCTGCGCCGGGCTCTTCCTCTAACTCCGGAGTGTGCCTCAGGTGTCCCCCGTACCAGTGAGTCTCGTTCGGCTCGTACAGTGTACCTGACGACACTTCCACTTGATCTCTGTAGGACCCGCGAGCTCTGGGGCGCCGATGTTCTAGGGGCTGCTGGGGAGGCTGTCTGCCGTTCTAGTAACGGAGGTTTCGAGGCGCCCTGAAAAGCCATGCGAAGGCGGGTTTTAAAAATAGAGAGAAAAGCGATCAGGCGCAGCACCAGACGGGGCTAGAGAGTGGGCGGGCTCTGAGCTTCGGTGCGTCATTTTGGAACCTCGGCAGACAGGCGTCTGCGGTAGGAAAATCCAGCTGCTGGCTGACATGATCTCGGTGCGAGGGTCTGTTTTATTGACCACGTTAGCTTCCCTAGCCTCTG